GATAATCTGATCTACCTGAAAGGTTCTTGGATTAAGAGGGTAGTAAGCACACTGGCAGGAGCCTAGGGAACTAACGGTGCTTTCACTGAGCACACATACATGTCTTAAGACCCAGATAGAGGCAGCCTTTGTGAGAGTCCTTCTAGGACTGGCCAGTGTAGTTTATGTAGTAGGAGGATTTGTTCTTGTTTCAGGTGGGACAATATTATTATGGTTCAGAGTCAAACCCACATAAAAATAGTCCAGAAGAGCAGGCAATTTGGCCTGACATTTTAAAAGAAAATCAATCGTTTAAAACATGAGATGAAATCTCATTGTGAATGTTCACAGATCATTATCTTCTTAAGTTTACCTTCAAAATACTTAAAGTGAAATTCTGGACTTCATCAACTCTAAAATGTATTTAATACATGTATTTTAACTGTGGGGTTCTTTTCTCCTCAATCTAGTAGTAAGTTTCTCAACAGTACTTCATTGTATGAGCAACAGTTTTCTGTAGTCATGAAGGCAGTTGGCTGATCCAAAACAAGTTCTAATGTTTGATTCAAAGGTATCATAACTAATGATTTACCAAGCTTCTGAGTCTTAGGATCCCACAATTAGGTTGTCTCTCTGAACTGAAATATGGTAACTACACCTAGCAAGGCTAAGCCACAGTTTTTTGAAGCCAAATATGTAAAATCTACACACAACCTTCAGCCAGTCCAGGAGAGCTCACATCACCCTCTATCAATGGATCAGTGATGAACTGATTGATTACACGGCCGGCATCTCACACTGGCCAGAGGCAAAGCCCACGTGCCTAGCTATCCGCACCTCATGGGAACCAAATGGCTTTAAAACACATGATATAAAACCTCCTAACCATGAAAGTTGTGGTACCACTGACCAGAAAGCATCCCTGCTGCTATCGAGTGGAGTAAGAACTGTTTCTGGTACCTCCCCTTCTCCTCACTTCTTTAAAGTTACTCTAAAATTGTTGCTTTGTGTTTCTGTAGTTATTTTCTTGGCCGGGACAGCAAAGAAATGTTGTATTTGACGAATTCACAAAGTTTTAGTCATTACAAATGAGTAAGTGCCTGCATATCGGGAATGCACAGCTACTGTCAAGGCTCAGGCCACCACTGCTAACTCCTCCCAGTGCCAACGATCGTGCTGGTGCTCTGCCATCCCACCCAGCACACAGGCCATGCATGTGCTGACAAAAGGCCCCAAACCTTTGCTTCATGGCATTTTTTACTTTGAAAGTACAGGTTTTTCATTGGATCTCAATTTCTTATGGGTTTAACTACTGTTTCTGCTTCCTGCTTGTATGTTTTTTTCTTATTTTTTAAGACGGGAAAAATTACAAGGGCAAAAGAGGAAAAATGCTCTTGAAACTCTGACTTCTCTCAGTCCTAGTAACTCCCCAATTTCCCTTACAGATGCCTCAGGAGGTTTGTAGTAATAGCGGAAATGAGCTCAAAGACCTTCTCTTTCAACTACAAATAAGCAAACATCATTCTTCACTTTCCAGCTGCAGAGTGCACGTGCTGACACTCTCTGTTGTCCCCAGCCATAAACCTTGGGTTAAGTTATTATTCATCCAATCAAGAGTTTCAAAATTCTACCTCCCCACAACTGCTGGTCCCACATACTGGTATAAATAGATATTTGCTGTACCCAGTTTCAACACCCATCCTGCTGCAGCGGCATGAATTTGTTAGCCCACAGGCTCTCATTTATTTTTGGGCATGAGATCCTTTCTGTCTTTCATTATTCAAGTAGCCAACTACTTTTTTTGTCCCCAGGAATGTGTAAGATCCAGCTGTGGATCCAGCAAAGCTGAACACTGGGACGTTTGCGCTGAGAAAGGAAATTGAAACCCAGGATTAGATTTCAGCTGAATTAAGAGGCTGTGTTGTGACAGGCATTTCTCAAAATACTTCATAAATTTCTCTCTCCAGTCTGCATCAATGCTTATTGCTAACATATTTTGACGTGCTAGTTGTTTTCTACTTCTTTGAAAAAGAAATGGGAAAGCCTCCAAAGAGTCCAAATTTCAGTCTGACTTTCTCCCTCCAAATTTCTCAGAGGAACATTGCCAGACAGCAAATTTGAGGGACTCAATACTGCTCAGCACAGCATATTTTTATGCAAAGATCAGGCACAGGCATATCTTTTAGGGCACCAGCAACGCTGCTAATGCAAAAAAAAAAAAAAAAAAAAAAATAATCTCATTATGACAAATTTGCTGCAATTTTTCAAAGGTCTTGTTCTGGAGTGTAAGCCAAATTGAGGACTTGGCAAATGGACATGTTTGGCTGCTTGGTTATTGCCCAACTCCCCTCCTCTGCTTCCACCTTGGAACTTGTAAACACAAAACTTAGAGAGTGTAAAATTACAGATGGGTCCAGCAGTGGTATGTCTGCTCTCAGATGTTTTTTCTTCTTCCTTAATTTTGCCTTATGCTAGAGCAGAAAACAGGGCTCACAGTACAAATGATGCATTTAATTCTACCCAAGTCTTTATTTGGTTAAGACAATCACTAACTCTCCCATTCACACGTCAACAATTCAAGGTTAATTGTCCCTGTTTTGTTCAGACTTTATCCTGCCCTGCCCTAAACCTGACAGTATCAATTCCAAACCAAAAATATGTGACAATTGCCATCAGGAAGACACATGTGTATCAGAGAGAAACACTACTGCATTAGATCCAAGTCCATCCTTAGCATACATGTCCCAGGACCAGCAAGGATGATCCAGCCCAGCTCTGAGGCCCACATGCTCTGGTGGCATTTCTGTGCACACACTTATGTGCCCAACCACGCAGTGCAGAAGCTGAGACCATAATCTACGTAGCGTCAGCTCTGTTTTACTTTATCAGAAGCAATCCAGAAACAAAACTACAGCAAACAGTGTTGCTGCCTTTCTGCTTTCTGGCTGTAGCTGTTCTCAGACCTTTCCCATATAACACCTCCCCACCAGATTTCACACCTTCAACCACCTCCCTCTTAGGGCACCTGCTGAGTTAGCACACTAAAGGCTTCTCCTCACCTCCTTAAGCTGCTTCCTACTTTCGAGATGCCCTACAGCATGCCGTGATGAAGATGATAGAAAAACATCTTAACTTTGTAGGTCTGATTTTAAATGGTTTGTGAGGACCTTGACAAGCACTACAGAATGTACCTGGAGTCATAGTGCCTCATTCCAGAATTGAGGACCATCCTGCACTTACAAGTGTGGGTCCCTCACAGCTTCAGGTATTGCAGTCATCAAGGACACACTAAGTAGGTAGGGGTTCCTATGCCTTCAGAAATGTCCCCTGTTTTTTTAAAGGTTATTGGCAGGCTTGGCCCTAGGAAAGTCTAAGAACATATTCCCATCTTCCTTTGCATTCAAATAGCAGGATGCAGAAGTGAGATCAATGAGTGTTGCATTAATACAAACTAAGTAGCAATTCTGGTGTCCGAGCTTCCTTTTTCCCACAAATACATAACTCCCAGACATACTCATTTTACCCCCGAAGACCCAAAAGCATCGAAAAGTCATCCTTTTCCAAACAAGGTTACCGATGGAGAACCTGAGAGCATCCAGGAGCCTCCCTGCGCAGAGTACGGGGGGCCTCTTGTGGTGGCCGAGTGGCTGGCTCAGTGCTCCCACATGGCAGCCGGGCTCCAACGGATGCCAGCGGCAGGCAAAAACGAGATCCAAATTTATATCTCTCCTTAGAAGATCCTAACTCGTTTAATACATGAGGCATTAGTGTATAACCCAATACTGCAACCTAGTTTATCATCCCTGCCGCCAGCTATGAACACAAGGCATCTAAAAATAAAACAGTGCTCTCTCAGTAATATTTTATTAAATGCTGTCAAATCTAATGCAGCCTGCCTAATCACGGTGTCACAAAAAATAATAGCTGCTGGAAACGGCTCACCTAGCTTCAGGTTGAACCTGATTCAATGGAGAAAAGAGTCAAATCGTCCCCGTAAGTCCAAGGCCAGAGTTCTCAGCACAGAACAGCTCTGTTGGATCTGCGAGCCTGCCTCGTGCTTTACATTAGGCGGCATCGCCCCAGCTTTGCAGCTGAAGGCAGTTAAACTAACAAACATCTCTTCCTTGTGCAGGAGCTCCATCTACTTTAAGAATCACACTAGCAACGGTTTCTAGATTTTTGTAGTGAACTCACAAGCCACCAAATGCTGTCCCGTGACCGGCAACAGAGCTTCATAGAGCTGACCATCACACACTCCCAGCAAGGATCCAGACAACCTGCTCACACCTCAGTTGAACACATCATGCTTTTATTTAGCTGGTCTGACCCACACCAGGGCAACTGCTCTCTCCTGTATTATTATTTTTTTTTTAGCTATTGAATTATTTCATGTGCTCTAGTCTACAGTTTCCTCAAAACTGATATATACGGTCTGAATACATCAAAGCTGAAAGCAATATTTATAGGCTCTACATCTATCTGCTGATTTTTTGACCTAGAAGATCCCACTCCAGAGACAGTCACAAAGCTGCTTGTTTTCAAAAAATGGGCTCTATATTTGGGTTTCTAGTTTAGTCACCTTAAAAAGAGAAGTACAGCCTCCAGCCACCAGTCACGCAGTCTGCAAGGTGGCATGACCATTTCTTCCAAAACCAAGTTTAATTTTTAATCCCTAGATCAATGTCTCTAAGTCTCTTTTAGGAAAGAAAACAAACCCTGCAAACCACAATTATCTGTAGGACAAGCACCACAACTTGGTTTTTTTGGAGAACAGAAAGTGCTAAACGCATGTGAAGATCCTCACTTTCTGCAGAAGAACACAACACCATTTAGAAACACTTTTTTTCCCATCAAGAGCATTCCTACTATTTGCTGTGTCCAATACAGAATATTGCCGAGATCCACGTCTAACACGCACAGTCACACGTTCAACTCCATCTGCGAGAGGCACATCTGCTTGTACATTCATTCCAGACACTACTACTCCCCTAAAAGACCCTCTTTCATGATTAGCCCATCATTCAGCTTTCATTTATCCAAAGTCCTAGAAAGGAACCCAACAAAAAGCAACAAATAGGAAAAATGGGCCCCAACGCCATACTCACCGGTGTGCTGCTGTCGGAAAAGGTGTTCATGCTGATGGATCTGCTCATCTTGTCTGAGGAGAGAGACGGTGGGGAGGGACTGCGCTTGTCCAGCTGCTCGTGGTGTGGCATGTCCTGGCGGTGCAGGTACTCACGCCATGCTCGCTGGATGCTGCCACCAACACCAAGGCACAGGGTTGCGGGGGAACGCAGCAGCAAAAAAGATTTAAAATATATATTATTGACCGAAGAGGTGGGGCTTGGTGGCTTTCTCTTTTTTTTGTGCATTTTGTTTTCCGATTTGGATAACAATCACATATAACTGTAGGTCTTATTTCAGCCACTACAAGTGCAACCTAAGGTATCTGTTAAGTAGAAGTAATTCTTTATTTCAAATCCCTAAACCTACGGAAGTGATTTAAATTTGAGACCGTACATAACTCAGCAATTCTCTTACATCTTACACACAAAATAAAAATATGTGATTATCCATGTAAGAGAATGAACAGCCTTCAACATTGTATATTTATATCAGCTTTTTCAGTTCATAATGCAGATATGATTGGAAGTTCAAAGCCAGACCAGTATTCTTTAAAATCTCCTTTGTCCGGGGTAGCTGGGGACTTAAAACCTCCTCCAAAGCAACGTGTGGGGATTGCGGTAGGAATCTGCTACTAAACTCTAAACTTTGCTAAAACCTGTTGCTAAAACCTGATGTTAAATTCTGCAAAGAAATTCCATTTTCCGTGCCGGCCGGTGGCCAGGGTGGCTCTCACCAGGTGGCAGTGCTGGACCGCCTGTGCTGGAGAGACCGGTGAGAGATGCTGGGAATTAAATCCGTGTTTACAATAGTAATGGCACTAACACAAACTATGTGGCTCTTTGCACACAGGATGATCTGTGAACTCCGCAGAAAAGCAGAGCTAAACCCTGACCTGAGCCTTGGCTCTGTTCCTGCAGTGCCGTGAGGTCCTTTTAGAATTTTTACGCAATTGTGAGTTTATTCACTGGGATATCAAGTCAGTAAAACCTTCAGTGTGTCTGTTAACCAGGCAGAGTGCCCTGACCTTTGCTGAAGTTGTTCTCAGTGGTGCACAGCTCTTGTGCTGCTCTGCCCAGGGGGCTGTGGGGGGACCGGTAGGAACCGGCCCTCCTCCCCAAGGCCTTGGCATGCTCAGCACCCAGCCTTGCTGCTGGGGGGGCTCCCCAGGAGGGGTCCCATGCTGAAACCCCACCTAGCCCTGCTCCCACCCATGGTGCCCTCACCCCGGGGCAGTGTGAAAGGCAATGCTCCTTCCTGAAGGAACTCTACCATGCACTTTATGCTTCAAACCAAAGAGTCCAAAGACTTTGGTGTGGATTTATTTTGTCCTAGGAATACTTTTTCTTGTTTGGTTGGTTTTCCCCTTGCCTTTTTAACAGTTAAGATGTCATTTCTGTTCCCACCTCCACAAGCCAGAAAAACTTCTAGCCTCCCAGACACCGCTGAAAAGGCATTTGATCCCACACTGGCATGTGCAACAGGAAAATGGTGCTTCTTGGCTTGGCAGGAGGTGGATGAATCTCAACACCAGGACACCTACAGCTTCTTATCGACTGCCTACAGTGCTGGGAACTCCAGACAGTGGGAAGTGCCTCTTGCGTGTAATTTTTCCTGGTCAGGGAACAATGCTCCCAACACACATGGCATTTGGAACATCTCAAGGTTGAGGAAATGAAATACATATATTTTGTTATTTTTTTAGAAGAATACCAGATCAGAAACAAACCAGTATTCATTACAGCCTCACCAGGAGAGGTGCGCTTTAGAGCTAATCAGGTAGGTTATGTCCTGTGTTGTTTTCATGCAGGAGCTTTAAAATGAACAGCAAAGCTCCCAAATGTGAGTGCCGATGGAGGAGCTTTCAGTAAATGCATTTTGCTTTAAAAAATCCCCACGGCTTCACACGTCAAGCGCTTACCCTTTGCATTGTTTCAGTTTCAAGCTTTACTGCATAATATATACAAGTAGGACTTACATATTTATATTTATATGTACTTTCTATTTTAAAGTGGGAGAATATACCAAGCTTAAGTCATAACTACCCTTCTAGAAAGCTCTCTGAAAGTTTATTCTTTCATCTGGCTGATATTTGCATAACTAAAAGACGCTGGTTGGATTTTGATTTGAGATTTCAGGTCCTTTTAATATTTTAATATAGCATTAATATTTTAATGTCCTGTAGAGCAAGTTAGCTGTAGCTTTTCAACCGAAAGTGAAATTCAGTATGTAATGTAGCAACGCATACAACTCAGTGTCGCAGAATTTTGCCATGAAATAGTCGGGGGCTTCAGCATAAAGATGTTCATATTTTTTGATGCAAGTGGAGCCATGTTAAACTTTTGTTGTCTGCTGGGAATTCCAGGGGCACCACGGTAGCACAGAGTTGGTGCCAGCTGGATGGAGCTAACGCCTGCACCAGGGCTGGAGGGACAACGCTGGAAGAGGCACAAGGAGGAGTCCTCTCTCTGACAGACATGTGGGTAAGTTTTAATTTGTATCTCCAAGTTTACCATGTGTATTACAGCACGGTCAAACCTTTTAGAATAACTGACCCCAAGGTCAACTATACAACATGTAGGAAATGTATTGACAAAAGCTGAAATTATTGCATGGGATATTGGGACTGGAAACTGGGGAGTTGATTACCAGAACTCAGTGATGCTGATCTCTTCCTTCCAGGTGGTGCAGCTAGGTGTCATCTATGTGCCTCGGCAGAGCGCTAGCAACCGCCGTGCTTTCCAATAGAAACCAGCTTGCTTCATGCCATATAGCTGTGCTGCATACCCCAGCCCAGCAACCCTGGTCCCCTCGCACTTACATCTCCATCCCCACGCAAACCCAAGGACTGCTCCTTGCAGAGGACTCCTGTGAGCCACCTGGGGAGCTTTAACCAGGCTTCACGTTAGATATGAAAAATAGCACTGAAGAGACTTGCTCTGTGCTATACTTCCCCACTCTCATATGCTCTCTGTATATACAAAAAATCTAGCAGATTCTCAAATATTCTTTAGTTTTACAGAGGAAATTACAAAATTAGTGCGACGCTGAAGTTTAGCGTTTGAAATTCAATTCAAAGAATGTTCACGTGCTTAAAGGTAGAGAAGAGCTTAGCTACCTTGTGAAATTGAGACTTTTTAATGCTTAAAGTTACACAGAAATCCATGATGGATACAGTCTGGGTTCTGTGGTTCGGGAATTGAACAAACTCAGCTGCATTTAAAGGCAGAAACAGCATTCTTCATGACTTACATTTTCACTTTTGATTCCAAGGGCTGTAAGTTGATATGATATTTTTCGATATTATTTTCTTCATCCATGGTAAGCTGATGGCTATGGGAAAGAAAAGAAAATGGGCTTAATGTGTCTCAGCATGACATTTTTGCCACCACTGTGAATTAATTCCGAAATTTTGACAAGAACATACAAGAGCTGCTTATTATAAGGTGTCACTGTCTTTGAAGGAAAGCATCTGGGTCCCTGTGTCCAGCCTCATTTGACTGTTAACAAAACCTACCAATTTGGATCCAGTTTCCAGGTCGGAGCTTGCCCAAATCCTTGCACTATACCTTCCAGATGCCAGAGCTCCAGAGACAGGCACACCCAGCAAAGAAGCTACTGCAAATAAAAAGAACACTGGCAAATATAATAGATATTCTTGCTAAATTAACTTTCATCCCTGGGGCTACATTTGAAAAGCTGGAGAGTCAAATGGAAAGTAACAATGGTAATGCTGGTAGCAAATGAATTACATCAGCAAAAGCCATACAGGAATATGAAGAAAAAATTCTTTGTAATAAAGGATGACCGAGGAATTGGTGCTGCAAACTGATTGTTTTGAGAAAGCAATTTTAAAATGCTAGAAGATAAAAATCAAGCATCTCAGGACGCTGCTTTGGATGCGACTAGCAACATGAATGAAAGGTCTTTGCGTGAAAATTTGTAAGATTAGACCCCAACCTGTGGAATTATTTTGAGACTTTACTGGACACTTAATTACATCATTCAATCAGCAGCAGTTTTCAGAAATTATCCTCCTGTAACTAAAAATAAGAGTTGTTTATGGGAGAGATGCAAAATCTTGAATATTTACTATATTACGAAGTGATAAACATAGTCTACAACAAAGAGGCTGTCCCTCAGAAAGGGCTAGTTGCCTTATAAAAGCCATTTCACTACCGTGTGTGAGATACACCACAGAAATCACACATTTACCTTTGAAGCAAGTCTTTGCCATCATTGACCTGTTCCAAGGTGTGCTGGAGCCTTCTGAGTTCCTCCTACAAGGGAAAAACATTTCAACGTGCTTATGGGAAGCCCTTGGTTCACACTGGAGACTCCCCCTCAACCTCAAGACATTGTGAACCAATCACTAAGCAAAACAATCCCTCGGGTAATGTCTACAGGGTTGCTTTCAAATTTAGATATCCAAAATAACTACAAAGAAACCAATATATTTATCAATATGTCCAGCACAAATTTGAAAGACAATATCAGACCTACAAAAATAATAGGCAGAGCAAAAGAGGAAAGTATTCTTTCATGTCTTAGGTGTGTGGCTGCTTTGATTTGAGAGGAGATGGTATTGGTAAGAGGCAAGCGAGCATCAGCTCGTACTTTCCGGCACTTCTCTTTGTTCTGCAATCAAACAGTATTCAGTCTCATAATTAAGAGAGTCACTGACTGAGATTTACAGCCTGATGTCTTTACCAGGGTATTTGCATCAGATCCCATTTTAGTAGCAGAGATGTAACAAATTTAATGCATAGCTGGAGTTCCCTGCATCCATGCTAATATCCCAGGAAAAATCTACCCATGATGTTCAGCACAGAGATATGGCTTAAAAAACTAAACTGTAGCTGCCTGGCAGGGTGTTGTTGTTCAGAAGGGGTGGGAGTTGAGGGGTGGAGAGGAACCTGGTTGCGATGAAGCACGTGCTCCAGGGGATGCGATTGCTGGGCTGAACTTTCTGACCCCTCGCAGGGCACCATCCCACAGAGTGCCCTGGCATCACTGGGACACGCACGCAGAGCACGCGTGCCCAGCGTCCTGAAAAGCGGGGCTGACATGCAAGCACTGAACCCCCCAGAGCACACCCCTGTGGTGCAATGCAAAGAGCATCACCCTCCCCAGATGCAGGGATGTGCCTTCACGTTGGTGTTTATACATCAACTGCTTGATAATTAAGCAATATTGGAAAATGCAAAGTTTATGCAAAACACAAAGATGTTAACTCATGATTTCTTTTAGCTTATTAAGTTGGGAATCAAATGTAAAAGCAAAAGCTGCTCAGAGTAAGGAAGGAGGGTATTTGATTTCACATCTACTTGCACACAGATACAGGATTCCTAGGAAGGCTAAGAACATTCAAAAGGCAAAACAAGGATATTTTCATCTTGTATACCTTATCTGGCCTAGGGATGGATCAAAGATCTTTGCTTCCAATAAGACTCGTGCCGTCTCCAGGAGCACAACAGATCAGCCAACTCTACCTTCTGCTTTCCCAAATTAAACTGATTTTGTGAAACAGAGAAATTTTACGTGGCACTTTTTAATCCTGTACAAGATTCTACCTTGTTCGACATGAAACAAGATCACAGTTGGTAGCTGATTTACTCCTAATACAGCTTTCATTTCCTCCCAGCCTTGGAAGGACTATTACTGCAAAATATGTTTTATGCATAAACTAGATTTGTCAAGACGACAAGTTAGATGTTTCCCCAGTCTTTGTCTCTCTGGGTCTCTAATTGTAGCACCGTTTTGTGGACACGCTGCAGCAGATAAAGCCCCGCGCGTGATTTGGGAGGCCTGGCTGCTGCCTACCACTCATCAGCCATTGGAAATAATCCAGTCGTGAACCTTCTTTTTATTTTTGCCTTCCTTCTTTTTTTTCTTTGCCTGCTCTGAGGAACATCATCTTCTGGCATATTAAAAAGAAGCAACTTTCAAAATTGTTTTCTTTGAAGCACAGTTCAGTTCAAAAGATAACCTTTCCTTCTCCTGTATTATTCCGCTGGTCGTTGTTTCAGCATATCCCGAAGCTATGTACAGTAATTTAGAATGGGAAAACAATTTGCAATTGACTTTATATATAGCTCTGGGTGACAAAACCTGCATGACTTACATAAATCATTTCTTGTGTTTGACATCATTTTCTATTAACCTCAGGGTGAAGTCTGAGCAAAAAAAAAAAAAAAAGTAAAAACTAGAATTGGTTGTGACATTTTTGACTATTCAGTCTTTCAATTAAACATCACCGGACAGTCTTTATAAAAGCTGTAATATAAGGCAACTACAGAAGGGGCATAGTCATGTTTGCATAATTGGGAAGAGAAGGAGACATAAAATCTATACTAATTTCAGTTTTGCGTCATTAACCATGAAGTATTGATTATTGCTCCTTGCAACAAAATTTATGAAGCTAGCTATGCCGCTGCGCCCACAGACAGTGATTCGGGTGCTCTGCCCTCAGCCCCCGGCGCGGTAACTGATGGGTGGCAATGACAGCCGCGACGCTGCTCTTCCAACCCACAGCCGTAGGAGATGCATCTCCCAGATTACACCAGGAGTGACCCAGCTGCAAACCCGAACTTCGGAAAATTAAATTGGAAGAGATCCATACTTCTGCTGCAATATACCATGAATTACGATGCCTCTATAAACCTTGTTATAATGTAAACATATTGTAAAATTTACTGTAGTTTTCGTTTTCCTGCTTCAGTTGAATACAGACATTAATAGCGATCGGATGGCTACAGCCACATATAGACACCTAAGGATAAAAAAGCAATGAAAGCTTGAAGTGCAAGACTGGTGTTAAGAGCTAGCTAAAGTGTCTTTTTGTAGCCTTTAGTGCGTATCTTATGTTTATGCATTAATTATTTTTCAGCCTGTAGATCTGTACTTCCAGGAACCCAGGCTACTGCAATGACTTAATCATTGCCAGGAAAGCCCATAACCTTGTGGGACAGAAAGGACCAAGGGGCTCAGGTCTGTAGACTCTCACCAGGGAGAAGCCTGTGTACAAGTGCCGTCTTAAGCTGCACTGAACTGGCTCCCAGTGCAATCCACACGTTATAAAAGCCTGGCTTGGCTTTGCTGTCGGTATTTGGTTAAAAGAGGAACACTCTGGGTCCCTCTACCTTTTTCCACTGCAGATCTGGCTCCAAGCAGCCCAAGGACAGGCTCTGCCTGTGCATGTCCAGTGAGATGATTTAGTGACCTCTCCCAGCTGCCTTCAGCAGTTTTCAGGGTCTTTTTTAATGGAGGGACGCAGAGGTTGCCGCAGACTTTGGTCCTTGTTTGGGCTTGCACAGAAAAGCCACCTCCTGTTTGACCAGCCATGGGGACGATGGCAGCCAACCATCCGAGACGGGGTCAGACACAGAGGAGCAAAAATCTGAAACAGTCTAATTTAGTCCCTAAATTCCTTTTGAACAAGTCTGTTTCAAAAACAGTTATTAGTGCAAAGTCTAAGGAAGGAAATCTCCAGATGTTAAAATCACACCTAGATAAACATTTACCTCAAGTAAATGATTCTTTTTTTGTTGCTATACCCAAAAATACGCATTCAGGTCAGTGGATCTATTTATACCCGTGGGTTTAGACTAGAACAGAGAAATCAGGGCAGAGGCCACATATTAAAAATTAACTTTAAAAATCCTTTTTGGACATGCGTGCTATTGTTTGAATATCTCTGCCTAAGAAGTCTGTCACTTGCTGCTGAATGAATACACAACAGTGCTTCCTGAGAGGTCAGAGAGATGGAGATGGGAAGAGAAAGCTACGATTGAAGTAGAACCGTGGCCCAAAAATAGCAGTAAAAAAGGGTTTGGTTTTGTTTTGGTTTTTTTTTCCATTTTGTAATTAAGAGTGAGTGTAGCAGCTATTCAAACACATCAGCTTTGGGTAGTTCCTTATTTCATTGATATTATTCCAAATTTTAACTGACATTTCATTGAATGGTGATTTTCTATTACGCAGGAAAACTTCCACTTACGTGCATTTCTTCATCTCCTTATTTGCAAGTCACCTGATGACACACCACAGCGCCAGTTTGAGATCCTCCTGACATAGAAAGGCCCCAGTGACCGGAGAAGCCCCTCGAGGGGGGCTTCGGCACTGTTGCTCTCGCCCTGTTGGAGCGGGATGCGCCCCTCGTGTTGGGCTGCAGGGTGCTGGTGAGCGCAGGGAAGGTGCTGGAACGGGGCTGGAGCATCAGCCGCCGGCACCCGGCTGAGATGCAGCAGAGCAGAGCACAGTCTAACCGCTGCCTTGAAGGAGAACTACGTCTCACCAGCCTGCCGCTGCTACGCAGGGAGGGAGTTAGTGCCCAGAGCTTTAATTTGCAAATATCAATAACGATCACTGGAGTTTTCACAGCCGTTCTTGCCAGCGAACATGTTAGCCTGCCTCATTGTTCCGGAGCTGCTGCATTTAAAGGCAAAAGTATGAGTTCTTCTCTGTAGCACTGACACAGGCACGTGCAAAACCCATCCCTCCTTTGCCAGCACCACCTCGGAAGCGATGGCACAGCTCGAGCAAGCCCGGCTGGAGGCAGTCTACAGCCAGAAACGCTACAATGCCTGCTGCCCTTAAGCCCAGAAGCCACGCAGGATCCATCCTCCGATCAAAGCCACCTGATGCCTCTTTCTGTCACCTATTAGGAAGCCAATTTATAGGCTTTAATATCCTCGCCTCCTGCCATTTTCCAATCCTGTGGTCATCAGAGGCAGATAGAAAATAATGAAGCTCTCCCTGCTACTGCTCGCCTCTCCCAGTCCACCGTGCCAGTCCAGGGACAGCACACGTGGTGCTAAAGGTGCTTTAGCACCAGCTCTGAGCCATTTGCCATTCGTATTCCTGCACAAAAGCAGCAGCCTCAGCTGCTTTTCAGACACACCAGCTGCTTTTGGTTACTGAAAACAATCCATTGCCAGTGCTGTTCTGAGCCGCTGACACCCATGTCTGCTCTTCTCTGTATTTTTAAGGCTTTTTATCCCATTTAACAAAGAAATCCCCCAACCCCCGACATTTTTTGTGTCCATGGAGTATCTTGGGTTTTATTCATTTTCTATTTTTTCATCTTTCAGTTTGTTAATTTTCATTTCTGTTTTGCCCTCTTTCGCCAGGAAAAACCGCGACCCCTCTCTTAAATGATGTAGAGCCCATGTTTCGGTCTGACAAGGCCTGTCAGGCAGTGTGTTAACTAAGCCTCTTAGCAGGATACAATGAGTCTAAAGAGGATAGAAAGATCAGGATCCTTTGCAGTGAAGCCTTTTACTCGCTACTATTTTGGGCACCCATTCATGCCGGCATGAAGGGGCTGCTCCCCTGGAAAACACGCTGGATTACATGAGCAGCCCCCTAAAGCTCCTGTTCCCTCTCGGTACACAACAGGGGGGTTGTCCTCAAAGCAGCATCTCTGGTGGCACCTGTGTGCCTGGCATGGGGGTACATCAGAGGCAGAAGGAGCCCCAGGTTGAGCAGACATCAGGCCATCTGCACTAATTCCCTTTTCAGGGATGTGTAGAGCTTTCTGCATCCCATTTGGGGGGCTGGAACATAAAAGCTAATGCTACTCCCCAAATAAGCTGAGCATCTGGTAAAGTTGGTAATTAAATGTCAGATGGTGACAACTGCTTCATATCTCAGAAGAAAAAGACACGTCAGATGATAGCAGCTTTTGTACATTGGGGGTTGGAGGGGGAAGGTCCTATTTTATTCGCTCTGGCAACCCAACAGACACCTTGAGCACTTCAGCTATGAACGCTGAAGAGAAGTACATTAACTGCACAAGATTAACATAGCTACTGGGGTGCTGCGATCCACAGCTGTCAGGAGGATTTGCCAAATCACTTAAAAAAATCGTGTCATCAATAGAATTACCTAAACCTACTTAAACAAGTTTCACATTCAGATTTAGAAACAAAATACGAATTAGCCTGGCTGAAATGAGTTAGTTACTGCAGGAAAACACAGCATGGACATTCAGGTTGGATCCTGTATCCTAAACTGCCACTGACCTCTGATGGCACCTTAGGTCTTTCCACCTCCTTTTCTATGCGCACCTTGTCCATTTAGGTCACAACATCTTCAAGGAAGGGAACAGCTCTTATTTTTCATGCATCGGGGCTGCGACGTTGATTAGTTAAAATAGAGTGTGGTTATCAACCACTAAATAATGGCAAACAAATTCAGACCCTTCCATCAAATACTGCCTGTATTTCCCTTCCATGGTTCACCTTTACTGTGGGGAGACCACAGTCCCTCTGCTACAAACGCTGCTCCTGGTGAGCATGGGGAAAGTGCGTGCAGGCTCTGTCCATGCACTGGTCTTTCCAAACAAGCCAAAGAAGGTGTCAACCAAAACCTGAGGCCTGCTCAAGGAAAGAAAGTGTCACACTGAACAGAAAATGAGGCCAAGAATAGAAAACAAAGGGCAAGCATCACTGAAACCTTTCACGCTGGAAGGAGGTTCCCACTAATTCGAGTGCCACTGGGATGAGCGTTAGGCGCCATGGCTGTTCAGCACAACCGAGAGCGTGCTGGTGCTGTAGCAAGGTTTCTGAGGATCTAGCTGATGGAGCAGATATGGGAACAGTAGCCATGAGGCAATTAACTCCCACTGTTTGTTGCTCATGTTTCCATTATTCTACATACTTAACAGATACTTCACTCAATATGCATTTTCTTTGTTTATTGACAACCAAGCTATGCTTGTAGAGCCCAGTTGTGATAGTTTAGGTTATTCTCCAGAAAGAAGGACCACGTTGCTTTCCACTGTTCTCCAGCACAGGTCAATACTCAGGGAATTTTTTCAAAAACAAGTTTTCTGTAAGTTTACTAGCTAGTATCTTTACAGAATATGGCCTAATTTTCCAAAGTTCTCCTTAGGTCTTCCTTACAATATGACTCTATTTACAAGTCTTTTGCAGCTTCTTACTTGCTGAGTTTGGTGTGTTTAGAAATCTGTTGTATCATAATTTTTTTTCCTGTTGTACCACTGTTGGGTTTTTTTTCACATGTAGTGCATATCTATAATGTCCCCACCCATCCAGCAGTGAAGCATCACCTACAATGGTAGGCACTGAGAAGTGCCTTCTGCTAAGGGACTTCTTGTCCAAGTACTCTGAAATCTCCACGCTGATTTGGATGGCTTTCAGATTGACTTCTGAGGTTTATCACAGGAGTTCAGGAACTATTGGTAGCTGAGTCCCTCACCCTGGTCCTGCCTGCTAACCCAGCAGCAGCACAATCCCATCACCCGCCTGGGTCTGGCTTGGGTTTCAGAAGCTGGAACCCAGTGTTGGGTTGTAGGTACATCCCTCAGTCCCTTCACCGAAATCCTAATGAGGCAGAGAAGGAGAAGATTTATTAGAGCAGCGAGTTTACTGTTCTGCCAAAGGTAAACTCCTTGCTGTGCTGTTTCTCGGAGTTTTACTTCTATTTCACAGGACACTTTCATCACTTAATAGATGAACTGCGAATATTTTCATTTTATTCAGGTAAAGCCCTCCCTCCCTTTTTATACCCTATGGACGTATTACCTAATTGTTTCTCTTCCTAACCTCTCTCTTCACTCATCATTTAATCAAAATAGGTCTCAGTACAAAGCTTCATCGACTAAGTGTAAAACCAGCATATGGAACAAAAGAAGAAAGTCTTGGCCTTCATATATTAGAGCCGAGCTCATGCCTAATCCCTTTGCTACCATCCTGGCTACATAAGGATATATTAATTCCTCTCATAAGTGGGTATAAACAGCTGGAAGGGAAATGCAGCAATGCTGGCGATATCTCCCAGGGGATGAGAGCACTCACAGGATGACCTGTTGAGCTCTTCTCCACTTTCTGTGATATCAACAAATTGTTTTCTTTTCCTTCCTTCAACTCTGCCCTGAGGAAGAGGCTACAGAACATTATTTCATAGTTACAACAGCTCTGGCAACCTTGCACAAGGATGAATACCATTAAAAAGCCAAGTTAGACTCTTTTTAAAAAGCCTCTTCTTTCTGATGCCATCACTGCGGTCAGGGCTTTCAACAGCACCGCTTCTGCCTCAAATACACAAGCTTTTAACTTTTGCCAAGGGAACAAACTAGAGAGAACGAAGCCTCTTGACATCTTGGCTTCTCTGTCACTGAAGTGCTTCTGAAACTACAGCCGGTCTGAACACCGAGGAAAAGGTCTGGAACAAAACGAGTGCTACAGGAGACGCAGCAAAGAAAGCATTTCATAGGTTGTAGTTCAAGGGGAAAATAAATATATATACACACACCGGGATGCAAGTCTATGGCAAGAAAGCAAATTTCTCTCTGGAATCCAGAAATTTTTGGAGTCACATATGACAGCTACCCTATAAGCGGCAGCAGGAACTAAATGATTCACTTATGGGATGAGGAGATGCTATAACCCTATCTAGGATTTTAATGCCATTTGTATGGGACCTGATGTGACAGTGCAAAACCTGGTATAAATCACCACAGCTTCACCGAAGCAGAGAATATGTATTACATAATGTCGATTACATCTTGTCTGTTACACGTTGCCTTTACTACAGTGACAACCTACGCCAGAGCTAGAGCTGGTCAAGACAGCAACCAACGTGCTGTGGGAAACCCTGATTTTTTCAAAAGCAAGTTTCCATTTGGAACAAAACCCAACAAGTTGGACGTGCCAAATGCCACCACACCCACTGTTAGAGCAACCAGCACTCCCTGCAAGTCCTGGATAGCGAAAGGCAGCCCCAAAATCCCAACGGGGTGCTGGAAGAGTCTTGGAGGCAATGGAGCCACCTGTGAACGTTGCACCACAAAGAGGGCAGCAAAGCCTAATAACAACATGGTTCAGACGAAATGAAGCTTTCCAACCCAGTATTGGTTCATGTGGAATGGTCCTTTAATCTTCAACAAATGAAAGTAAATGGCAACCTGTCCTGGTTCAAAGTACCCAAACCATGACACAATCCTAGTGTTGTGTTTTGCTTTATGGCACAAAAGCTGCACCTTGAAAAGATTACACGGGGGATAGTAGGTGAATGTTTTTATGGAGAAGAGATGTGTCCGTCCTAAAGTGTCATCACCAGTCCAAGTTTGTTTATCTTTACCATTACTTCACCCTTTCTCTGAGGAGCTGCAGAATTATGTCTGCTAAAAAGAGATCAGTGTTTCGCTCTAACGGTTACTTTACGAAGAACATAAGTCTGCACCCAACCCACTCTACTGGAAGAAACCCACACCTTCCATCTCCCTCAAGTTTTCATTGCAAATTACAGTTGAGTCCAGCTTAATTTTGAGAGAAATATGATGGGATTGCAACCAAGCCAGTGTGGATTTCAACATGCCAGGAAGGGGAAGGCAGGGGGAAAATCTGACATGACAGATCCATCTTCTGAACTCCCAGTGGAGGTTTTTTTCCCCCAGAAAAAGTAAGCAGCTCTTTTTATAGCTCATGAGCCTATTACTTCTAATGACAACAACAGATTACTCTTTTAAAACTGAAAAGAAATATATTAATCCAATTTTCTGCTTTTCACAGTGTGGTACTGTCTTCTAATTTTCACAAAAGAGAAGACTGATGAACTAGTTTAGGCATCAGAAGGTTACTATAAAAAATAATCATCCCACATCTATTACAGAAACGCCTTTCTACACTTCTAGCGTTTCTGAAAGTCCCATTTAGGCCAAACACTATATATTTGGTTCATAACCAAAAGGAGTTGCTTTTTGGAAAGCTCATACAAATGTCTATTGCATTGCACTGTAGCAGCACTTACAAAAGGGTCCCCAAGACATCAACTTCACAGCAGCTGCCTTTGCTTGGACAATGCACCTGCAGGATTTAATGCCGGGAAGCTTTGCCCTCCAACACCGCACGCATGGGAATACCCATCCCTGGGCAGGACAGCTGTCCCTGTGCCAGAGCAGTGAGGACAGAGGTGAGTCAGAAGCATCAAGGAGCTCCGAACCATGATGAGTGTGGGCGGGCATGCACGGAGGAGGCTGCTAAGGAAGACAGCCCCAGCATGGTCTGGCTCATCGAGCCTTTCCACACCTTGTAGCTGCTGTTTATATGGCAGTTTTGTTCTTGACCGCAGCACCAAGGAGCAATGCTGGCTCTCAGATGGGGCCACCACTTCCCAGCCAGCCCAAATGCACAGGCCACTGGGCTTTGCTCCTGTTTTCAGGTGTTTGAGACATTGCCACCAACATGCAAGGCACACGAGTGAAAGGCAGTCTGGAGACGAAACCCCCACGAAATCTCTGGTTAAGCACCCTTGACAAGAGCCGTTGCATCTACAGATTTCAGGTTCATGGAAGAATACGTGCCTTCACAGAAACACTATTTTCTCTGTTATGATGAAGTACATACCGAGCAGTTTTGATTAGGGTCTTAATCTTTATGTATATTGTAATTTCCACCCAACGCTCTTGTGTTTGTCTTCAACGTGAGAAATAGCTTTTCCTTGTTGATAATAATGAAACTGCTCACTCATTCTGAGGCTTATAACTATGCAAGCACACCGAGAAACCAGCAATCCACTTCTTAATGTGCCGGCTGAGCTGTGCTTGCTAGAGACAGTAAGCACAAGTTATGTCAGTCTCCATCCCTGCACTATCTTCCGTTCCATCCCCACCACCTCTTGATCGTACAATACCATATTTTCTAATACAAGTGGAAAATATTTTCTATTCAGCAGCCAGCAACTGTTTAGCCATGAAGACCATCACAGCTGCAGAAACAGAGAAACAGTCCTCCGAGGTTAAATCCCCCCATCAGGACAGCACCCTGCATCCAGCCTAGCCCGCATCCCTCATCATCCGCACCAGACATTACATCCCAGAAGTTCGGCAGTAACAAAACGCTTGCATTTTTCTGTGCAGATCTAACTACACGTTCCATGATGCTTCCTCAGCGCTCTCAAGAAGTAAATTTGCGTCATACCCATTTTAAGGATGGGCATAATTACGCTAAGAGGCACGGCACAGGCCAATTAAATCAGTAGGGAGATTAACAAAAGGGCTACCTAGGGTAAAGCAAATGCCACGGTCCTCATTTGGATCCCAACAGTGGTAGCA